GATGGGTATTATTCACATATAAAACTGAGTAGAAAAGGCAGCGGATGAAATTTCCTTCTGTCTGATGTAGGCAATCTGTCTAGTTTTTATGGGAGGGTTAAGGAAAAAGGTAGAATTAACACATCTTTCCTCAGTCTTCAGGTGAATGATCAGAGAGATGAAGCTGACCAGCAATTGTAGGCCTGTACAATAATCAGACCTTAAATTAAGGGAAACTTGACACATTTTTAATGGGAAAAGGAAGGTGGCTTGTACAATAATGATCAGTTCATGTGGAATGTATTAATACATCTTCTCTGTAATCTTTTTCTTTTTATTAAGGACTTGATCCAAAGCCAACTGAAGTTAACAAAAAAAATTCCATTGATTTTAATGGACTTTGGACCAGCCTCCAATCCGCTTTATTCCTATACACGAATCATTAATTCTCAGATGTGCTGCAGACAATCTTGGGCTTCAGGTCCAATTTAGGCTGATTACTCTATTATTTCTTGGGTTTTTATGGTGGTGAGTCACTGACTAAATTCAAAATACTCCTCACAGTAACTGTCAGACATAATTTGGCAAGATCTGATTCTTATAATTTTTAATGTGAGTGGTTTTACAACTATTGATTTGATCTGCATATTTTCCTTTTCTTTATTTTTAGGGAGAGCCAGTTTAAAACATAAATACGATAAAAGAAAAATGTAAATAAGGATTTGCCATGCTAAATTGAAATATGTGGGACAAATCAAGTTCCTTTCTAGGACTTTTATTTTGTGGCTACGTGGAATATTTAGTAACAAGCTTCTAGCTTTCTTATTGAATAAAAACCCAATTATTTCAGATGTAAACATTTAGTTAGTCCCTCAGTAGGTAAAATGGGTTGTCTACTAATGTTCTTACACTTCTGTACATTTTAGCCAAGGTTCCCATGGGTTTGTAAACTCCTCATTTGTATTCCCTGAACTGAGTTTTTTATGCAGATCTGGAGGGTGGGGAGAAGACCACAACACAACAGTGGTATTTGTTTTGTTTAGTTTTATTCTTGAAAGAACCAAGTTTTCATTCTCCTTACCTACAAATCACAGAGCAAGATGGGTCTGAATAGTTTGTTTTAGAACTTGTAAGTGTTCATGTCCACTAATGCAAAAATGATACATTATATGAAAGGGTCGTGGTAGAAACAGCAATAAGAAACCAATCTCCTTATTTAAAACCTTAAAGGTTATGTCCCCTAACACGTTGTGGTAAATAAAGGGAGGGATAGCTCCCTTTGATGGACACCCAGCCAGCCAGCAAGTCAGTTAGCTATAAAATCCCTCTTGGTAGCTGTTCTTTACTTGCTTTACCTGTAAAGGGTTAAAAAGTCCCCCAGGTAAAGAAAAAAAAGTGGGCACATGACCAAAAGAGCCAATGGGAAGGTAGAACTTTTTAAAATTGGGAAAGAAACTTTCCCTTTGTCTGTTGTTCTCTGGGATGCAGGGACAGGGGCAGCAATACTGTAACCAGCTTCAAGCCAGGTCTGATTATAGATTATCAATTCATACCTCGAACCTACTTATCTGGAGCCTCAGATATGTAAGTAAAATTAGGGAATGTCTAAAAAGACACGATTAGGGTTATTTCTTTTATTTCTTATTGAATTGTGAACTCCTCTGTGCTAACCCCAGATGCTTTTGTTTGCTTGTAACCTTTAAGCTGAATCCCCAAAAAAACTTTTTTGGGTGCTTGATTTTTGGAATTGCTCTTTTAAAATCAGGCAAAAGCCTATGTTCCAGATGTATTTTCTTTCTTTTTCCTTGTAATAAAATTTACGTTTTTTAAGAACAGGATTGGATTTTGGTGTCCTAGGAGGTTTGTGCATGTTGTTTGATTAGCTGGTAGCCACAGCTAATTTCCTTTGTTTTCTTTCTCTGCTCTTCACCGGAGGGGAGGGTGAAAGGGCTTGAGGGTACCCCAAAGGGAGGAATTCCCAAGTGCTCCTTCCTGGGCTCAAAGGGTTTTTTTTGCATTTGGTTGGTGGCTGTGTTTACCAAGCCAAGGTCAGAGAAAAGCTGTAACCTTGGTAGTTTAATACAAGCCTGGGGTGGCAAGTATTAATTTTTTAAATCCTTGTGAGCCCCACTTCTGCACTCGGAGTGACAGAGTCGGGATTCAGCCTTGACACAAGTAGATCAAAGAGGCTTATTATTTTACCCTATAGGTTATTCAGATAATGGAAACTTCCTGTTCCAAAGGGTCAGATATTGTTGAAACTAGTATGGGGGTATGTTGTGTCCCTGGGCTATATGGCCTTGTGTGTTTATATATACTGCTGTGTATGCAAGCATATTTCATTGGGTTGGCTAAGAATATGAACTAGGAGAGCCTGATATCTCTTTCCATTCTATAAATTGACACCAGAGATTGGCAATGAGATTGCTCCCTCATTCCAGTAGAGGAAAGCATCCTTTCTTCAGGTTATTTGTTAGGCAGAGACATGGATGTGATATTTTATTGCAATTAGAGGAATATAGACTGTATTTTGAAAAAGCAAATAAGAAAAAAGTCCATTATCAAGTGTTCTAATTTCAAGAATGGTTTCTTCTGTGGTACTAATAGATTTTTTAATGCAGAGTCAACAGTTGTTCACCTGGCCCCAAGGCAGACCACTGTCTTCAGTAACATGCCACTTTCCTAGTGTAGAGAGTTCTGGTATGGAGGGGTCGAGTTGTGATTGGTTGGGATACATAATGTTTGGTACAGAGAAAGATAGACCCTGGATAGTTGACAGCTTGAAACCTCCCATAGGGACAGTTATTCGGTGTGATGGCTTGGAACCGTCAGTTTCACATATTATGTATTGTGCCGCTAGTGATGCCTATGTAGTAACTTTATGCATCCGAAGAAGTGGGTTGTAGCCCACGAAAGCTTATGCTCTAATAAATTTGTTAGTCTCTAAGGTGCCACAAGTACTCCTGTTATTTTTGCGGATACAGACTAACACGGCTGCTACTCTGAAACCTTTATTTATATACCACCCTTTTCTCAAAATGGTGAGGCTGCTGTACTGCAGAATAAATACAAATACAATATAATAAACATGCTAAACTGTCGCCCTTTTAAGATACAAATAGTTAAAAACAAATGAGTGGGTCAAATTTTAGAAATGTGAAGACAGTGATTGAACAGGAATGTGATAAATAAAAGGTCAAGAGTGGCTATTCTAAACACCTGTGGGGAGAAATAAAACTTTAAGATGTTTTTTAAAGTGGGATAAAATAGAGGTGTATTTTGGGGGAAGGAAATTACATGTTATAGGTCCCACTGCAGTACAAACCTTGATTGCCTGTCAATGTCAGATACAGTGGCAAAATTCTAAGCACTGGGTAGTGTGTGAGTACAGAAATCCATCATTAAAAGGCATGAGTAGTAGGCCCCAGAATTTGGAAAGCCAATTGTAAAGGGCTTTTAAAAGCAAGCGTGTCAGTTTAAAGTTAATCTGCCAGTTTCTAGGCAGTCAGTGTAAATCTTCCACAGCAGCTCAAGACAGTGAGCAATTATGCCACTGTACTCTGAACAAGTTGCAAATGATTGAGTGACACCACAAAGAGCTCATAAAGAGAGAATTCACCAACTGAGTTTTGTGGGTATGAGGGCATGTTTTGCTGTTCCAAATTTATCACAAGCTACATTCACTGACCAACAAAAAACCCCAAACCTTCTCATTAACAAGGAGTTAAGATTGCCCAGTGGTATCTTGTGTCCTTCCAAACATCAAGGTCAGCAAAACTTGAAACTTTGAAAATCAGGAAAGAGAGTTAAGTTACATGTCTGTGCAACTTTAACTCTGTGCAAACAAAGTAGAAATCAGTGATGCAGAGTTAGGGTATTTAGTGTAATTTGCTTATTTACAAAATGTATACCACTTCTGTTCCATTGAACAGAGGTGGTTACAAACTGTACACATGCTATTTTCTTGCAGAAATCTTATGGCATCACTGCCCAATCACCAAGACGCAACTCTTATCATCTAACTGCTTAAACATACTGCTTTCTCTTCCAGTCACAGCCCATGGGCTTTTCACCTGGGAAACTCCTAGTCTAAGACTCCTCACCTAGGTTCAAGTATTTTGAAAGGTGATGTGGGCATTAACCCTCCTTTTGTGAACCCACTAAACCTCAGAAAGGGTTTGACTTCCCATTCACAGGAAAATACTTTAACCTACATGATCTGCTTACCTACTTTCAGAATTAGGTACTGCGTGGGTATTTTAACTCATTTTATCCTGGGTGCTTATACATCAGTAAGGCATAACATGCACAACATTAGCATTTGTTCCCATAGCAATCATCATTTTGCTAGCATTGAGCCAGATTCTGCAAAGTTCTGAGTGCTCTCAATTCTCATTGACCATTGGGTTTATCAGCACAGTTTAAAAGTATGCTTCAGATTGTATGTGCTGCACCTGCTCTCTTTCAAAAAGAAGCCACATCTGTTTGCTCTGTAAAAGTTACATATTAATGAATAAAACAGAAGAGCTGTTTCATTGCCATCTTTAACACCCCATTCTAAATGGTAGAGACTTTATTTCATTATTTGAAGTGGAATGAGTGATAATATTTCACTTACATTACAAATTGTGAAAGGTCTATTGAATTAACGGAGTGGGTGATCTAATGTATTGAGACAGCTACTGTTGGTGTCTGATTTATTCTGCAAGTTAGTTACCATTCATTTGCCCTTTGCATTTGTTTATAAAATACATTATATCAGAAAAGTTGGTGTTTATTATTGTATATTTTAGTATGATCCACAATGTGCTAGGTACTGTCAACACACTAAGAAAGAGGGTTTATATGTAATTTAGAATGTATCTTCTTAAATTCTAGCCATTAATTGTTGCAATGCAAAGATATCTGTCATATAAGTGAAACACAAATTAAAGTAATATAATCCTTGTTAGAGTCTTAAGTTTTTGCTGAAATGTGTAATCCTTTTTTACTCTAAAATATTCACCTCTTTTTTATTACAGAAACCTTTGAAATGCTTATCAGACAGGCTGAGAATTACACAAGCATGCTTTTCTGCAACACATACAGAAACATGGCTGTCGAGGCTGCTACGGCTCTTCAAGAGTTTTTTACAGATGTGGGACTCTTTGTATTTGGCATAGACATTAGTACAGAAGAACTGGTGAACAGATTTTTTGACACCCTGTTCCCACTAGTCTATAATCATCTGATTAATCCTGGTCTGACTGACATTTCGCTGGAATATTCAGAATGCATTCGAATGTCACAAAGAGATATCAGTCCTTTTGGTAATGTTCCAAAAATAGTCATGGGACAAATGGGGAGATCATTGTTATCCAGTCGTACTTTCTTGCAGGCCCTCAATTTAGGGATTGAAGTGATCAATACAACAGATCATTTGCAGTTCTCTAAAGACTGTAGCAGAGCCTTACTACGAATGCAATATTGCCCCCACTGCCAAGGAATGACTTTAAGTAAGCCATGTATGGGGTACTGCCTGAATGTAATTAGAGGCTGCTTGGCTAACATGGCAGAAATTGACCTTCACTGGCGGAGATATATTCAGTCATTGGAAGAGTTATCCAGTGCAATGCATGGGACATATGACATTGAGCATGTACTTCTGAACTTTCACTCACTTGTTAATGATGCTCTGACACAAGCTAGTATCAATGGACCAAAAGTAACTGAACAGGTAAGCACCTACCTATTTTCTATCTTCCATGCTTATTGGAAACACAGCACATGGAAACTAACTTAGAAAATTGATGGATATTTGATCATTGTTATACCAATTAACACAATGTTTGTGTCCAAAAAGGGCTTCATACAGCAAAACAGTTGTACAAAATTGTCCGTTTTTTCTTTAGTTATTCACACGACTTGCTATTTTCTCAAATATTGTATTCACAACCATAACAGAATGAGGAGTCACCATTTTTTTAGCATTTGCAGATTTTTTTTTTCAGGATGAAAAGCTAGTTTTCCAGTTGTGGAATGAACTTGTAATGTTTACCAGAACCATCTAAACAGTTGAAGGTATAATGAAAAATGTTTCACACTTATGAAACCACAACCTGATTTTTTGTAATCAGTTGTGTGAGAATTTATTTACACAAATCAGTAGAAAACTCTATTTTACTTCTAGCTTTTTGTCATTTTGTCCATTTAGCCATCACACTTTTCAGTGCATTCGCTGAATGGCCTTTACTGAGAATTCTACAACTGTTGAATAAACAAGAAAATCCTGAGTTCTGCTGAGTAAGAGTGAGTGCTGGAAAGGGTAATTAAGATTGGTGTTTTAAAATACTAATAAGCAAAAACTAAATTGCATGGTGAAAGCTAATTCCAGAGACTTTCTGCTTTTGTGAAAAATGCTAGGGATTAGGCAAATGCGTGCCAGATTTGGTTCATAATATTAATTGAATTGCCGGACTGGTGAAGGTGTTTATTACTCTATCACATACATTGTAACAGGTTTGGAAATCTCATGGACTTTATACCATGATCGAAGCCCCTTATTTTCATGAACTAGAAATATAAGATCTGATGTCTAATATATATCTAACTATAAAGATGACAAGTAATAAACATCCCTTCCCTTTAGATGCCAATGGTTTGTCTTCAACATCTATGGCCGTAGGTAGATTTATTTGAATATTTTTGTTAGCATCAATGGAGTGTACATTTCGTTTGCAACGAATAGCACATCCTTCCTTGGGGACATTTCAGGGGAAGAGTAACTTGCATGAGAAGCTAACTTAGCTATGAACACATGAAAAGTGAAGAGTTTTTTTAATACCAGGGCATTAGTTAAAGCTAATGTAGCTGCAAATGTATGAGGCATATCTATGCCAACAAATGTTAACTCTTACTCTGTTATGCTTATTCCATAGTATGTTGTGTAAGTACACTTTCACCTATAACTTTCATGGGTGCTGCCATCATAGTCTGCTCAACTACCATGGTGATGTGGGTAGCATAAGAACCTAGAATAGAAAGATGGGGTTTTTTTTAGAGGATGTGCAGATCAATTTTTGGTTGGATGTGACTGTGATATGGTGTGGTGTCACCTCAGGTGCCAGTAATAATGCTAGGACTATCACAAACTCCCTCTCACTTGGTTTACCTGCTGCTGAACTGGCCTCTGCCCACAACAGAGCCTTATCTAATAGACTAGAGCCTGGTTCTCCTGCTCACTTCCATGGAATAGAGGGGAAAATAATGGGCTGACACATCTAAAGAGGGGGAAATAGTGGGCTGTTGCCATTGGCTGCAGGTTGCTGTGCCCTAACTATTGGGCTGTCATTCCCAGATGCCACTGTAGGCATGTTAGTACTACAAAGGGAAACTTTATGGGAAGTTGAGGCTATTCAGAGTCCTTGGAAGAGTTGACTTACAAACCTGGCCCCTACCAGGCAGTATAGAAGGAACACAGATAATATGGACAGTTGAATTAGTCCCTGAAGTACAACTGGAGGAAATATTACTTTGAAAGTGGTAGCTAGAACATGTGTAGATTTCTGAGATGAGGTCAGTGGCTGCCCACAGTTACCCCAGAGCTATCTTCATGATTCCCATCCGGCTCTTTCTGAAGTTAGACCCCTGACTGGTGTCAGGCTCCTTCATTTTGGAAACAAGTGGCTCTCATCAGCTTTGGTCAAAATGAGTCATTGGACATCGTCGAGAGGGGGTTCTCTATTGAGCTGTGGGAACAACTTTGTCCCATTCCTAATCTCAAACAGCCCATGGAGATGATAGGACATAAATGAAATCATCTATCACCTACTTCAGATCTTAGCCATACAGTCTGTTCCCCATCCTATATCTAGCCTCAGAGACTTGGGAACAGACAGAGCAGAGTCCTATCTGAATAGATTCCTGAAAGAGGTTTATCTTCACACTCTCATTTTACTATCGCACAGACAATTCCTCTATTTTTCTCCCCCACTCCTCCCAACTCCAGTCATTACCGTTACCCAGACATATCCTCACTTCCCTGAATTAATTTGGTGGCTGTTCACCTTTTCCACTGCTCCCCAGGACCATACCAAAGATAGGAAGGTGAGAGTGACAGCAATATTGATGCCATTCTGGCTGAAGAGTCTCTGGCTCTAACCTACCATTGAACCTTTCGGTGTGTCTGTCTCTCAGAGTAGGTCTGCAATTGCAAAAAGTCAGTTTTCCATCCAGCACCAGACTGGTTGAAAATGGATACTTAGATGAAGTGATTACCCTTTGCATAGACCTTAAGAAGTGAACAAATATACCATGAACTTTGCACCAGCCAGCAGAATAACTACCATGTTAAACAAGTTAAACACAGCCTTAAGTTCCTTGTCTTAATGTGTATGTGTATGCACAAGAGTTCAAACAAAATAATAAATATCATATATAAAATAAAAGGAAGTTTAAAATAAATTCCAGCATGAACTGTTTTCTTAGAGCAACAACCTTTACTCTAGTCCGACAAGCTCATAGAACACAACCTTGAAATCTCATTCTGCTCCTTACAATATTACCCAGATTGAACCACTGCAGGAGGTGTCATTATTTTTCCTATCCATTAAAGCAGACTTTCTTATAGGTACTGTCTCCTGTCAGATGAAGTTTTCATTTTCATTTTACTGATTAAGTCAGACAAGTTGTCCTCAAAACTGTCATACCATTCACTCCCAAAATAAATTAAAGGCGTACTCTTCATTCTATTAAACATCAAACTCCAGTCCTTAGGAGCAATGACAGTCTCAGGGCAGAGAAGTAATGCATTGAGATCTGATAGGTGGCCACCTGGTCGTGAATATATACATTCATCAAATTCTACATATTGGTTATCCAGTCTTTAGCCAGTGTCTTTTTTATTAGCAGAAGTCTTTTCTACTCCTAAGTGCCCACAAGAAGGACGATATATACTGTATAATATTGTCCATTGACTTGACCTGTTAGCCAATAGTTATTGATAAGTTGTTTTCTTAAGGAGAAGAAATTAATTGAGTCAGGAATTTAATTGGTGCCATCCTGTTTGTTATACACAAAGTCCTGTTTCCCTGAACACAGTAGGAACAAACAACAGGAGGCAGTTTCGTTACTCTCAATTTTCAAGCCTGCCTTTCCATTCAGTCCTTTGTGTAAATGAAACTCTTTATTGACTTCCTTCTGGGGCCACACTCACATTGCTTATCTGGCTTTCTGTTGGCTTTTCTGTTTGCTTTCTACTTCTGATACATACAGACACACACAGCCCCACCAATCAATGCCCTAGACTCTTCATTTTCAGTCAGTCCCAGGGAACTCCTCTTATTCTGTCGGAGTTAGTTATTGCTCAGGCTTTCCAATCTGATCCAATGCCTTGGGCAGTGGATTCTGTTGTATCAGCTATCTTACTCCATAAAGGAGCATAATTGCTTCTTCCATTTAGCCTGAATGAAAGTTGGTAAGCATGCACATTGACTTCAGTGCAGTCAGTGGTCTGCAAGGATCAAAGGGATCAAAGACACACTTGTGAGCAGCCACAAATACCCTCCAGCACAACAATAATATTTTGGATGTCCAAAAGTCCTCCTTCCCACTGCTGTGAAAATCCCATTATAATGGATCTGTGTACCTGAGCACAGTGAAGAATAGGATAAGGTATCTGTGCTTAACTAAAAATGTCTTTACTTCAACTAATAAGCTCCAGAGATCTGGCCCACATTGAAGACAAATATGTAATCAAGAATAGAGATGGAAATGCACATCCAAATATTTGAGTTTCTTTCATTATGGGGAATGAATGCTCAGCACAAGGACATGCTTTTTTCTCAAGGTATTATTTTAACACAATCTGTAATTTAGGAAAGTACAATTGAATTAATCTCACTGTGGAACTTGTCTCAGTTGGAGAGAACTTCAGCAGGTGGGACATGCCCCTGTTGTCAGTGACTGATACAATTGGTTTTACCCCCAAACTCCAAGCACTCTGAAGTACCCATTGTAATGGATCTGTGGCACTTATTACTTGTATAAAGGACATTTTCAGGTAATCACAGATGAATTTTCTTAATCAGATGTCAGTTCCGACATGAGTTTTCTAATACAGTGTGTTGGCATGGTCCCCTTATGGTAAACACAATTACCATTAAATTTTCTCATGTTTTCCTGGTGACTCTTTAATTCACGCAATAGTGCCTAACAGCTCTAAAAAGGAGTCATTATTATCTATTGCAGTATTGCCAACTCTCACACTTGTATCACAAGTCTCACTGTATTAAGTATTCTTGTGAAAGCCCCAGCTCTTGGACACAAATGAGTATACAAGAATATCAGCTTTCATGTAAAATAAATAAATACACCTCTACCCCGATATAACGCTGTCCTCGGGAGCCAAAAAATCTTACTGCGTTATAGGTGAAACCGCGTTATATTGAACTTGCTTTGATCCACTGGAGCGTGCAGCCCCGCCCCCCTGGAGCGTTGCTTTACCGCGTTATATCCAAATTCGTGTTATATTGGGTCGCGTTATATCGGGGTAGAGGTGTAAAAGTAAGGCCAGGTCTATACTACAGACTTATATTGGTATAACTACGTCGCTCTGGGGGTTGAAAAATCCCCTGAGTGACATACCTATACCGACCTAACCCCTGGTGTAGACAATGCTAGGTCAGTGGGAGAGTTCCTGTTGACATAGTTACCACCTCTCGCAGAGGTGGATTAATT